CCTCTTCTTTGGACTGCTGTTGATGTGCATGATTAGGTTATTTGGGGTTGCTCTGTCCCTTTATGTGTGCGCACAGCACTACAGACTTCCCTCCAGATGCTTTTATTGTGTCTCATAGGACTGGGTATGTTGTGCTTCCATTGTCATTTGATTGGATGAACTTTTTAATTTCTTCCCTAATTTCTGTGATTCATTCAAGCATGTATTATTTAATCTCCACGTCTTTGTGTTGTTTCTGTGGTTTCCTTTGCTGTTGCTTTCTGTTTTGATTCCACAGTGATCCAGTGTTTTATATTTAAGCATGCTTTATGGCCTACAGTATTTTGTAAAAGTCCTACGTGCTGCCGAGAAAAATGTGCATTCAGTTGTTAATGGATGAAGCGCTCGGTGTAGATATGTAAGTCCGTTTGGTCAGTGGTGTATGTTTTGCACAATTTTATTCTATTTTTGTCTACTGGGCTTCCTGGCACATGTCTGCTTTTGTACGTTTTAGTTATATGCTGTAGGTAAGCCACTTCTGTCATAAAACGCATGAAATAACTATTTAGTAGTGAAATACTTTGTCTGAAAATGTTTATCTGGTCACGTTAGTCCTTCCATTTCCATGTGAAATGTTATGTCCACCCCTTGCTTTTAAAATACCCTAATCCTTCCCTTCCACGCCAGACCAGCAAGAAGCTTTGTGTGGAAACCGGAGCTGTGTGAAGAGAAGATGCTTCCTGATTTCAGTTTACTTTTCTAACAACCCTTTACTATAAATGGGACCTTTAAATTCAGATTAGGTTTTGATGTGCGGTATATAATCTTTTTCAAGGTCTGGCCAGATAGCTCGGAGGACTAGAGTGCCTGCGTAGGCAGAGCACAAGGGCAGGGTTCGATCCCCAGTGTGCTGTGCTGCCCCCGCCCCTGCGGCGTGCTGAGAGGGCGAACAAGTCTGGGCGTGGTGGTGCGCGCCTGTAATCCCAGCGCTTGGGAGGCTGAACACAGGAGGATCACTGAGAGTCTGAGCTATGGGGTGAGACCCTGTAGACCCTGTACTAAATTAAAAAAAAATCTTTTCCAGAAAAATGATACTAGGTTTATTTCTAGTGATCACTTTTCACTTATATTTTATGGATACATGTTACATAGTTTTCCACAAATGATTTATACCTTATATGTGAAGGTTTTCGAGCCTGTTTGCAGGTAATTGCTATTTCCTCGACATTGAAGCCTGGCTGTCTTTGGAAAGCCTTCAGTGCTATATTAATTGGTATAACCCTTTATTTTTCTAAAATAAATGTCACAATTAGAAGTGGCACACAACATTGCCTTCATTTAATGTAGCCGTATTTCTGTGTCCGTAACTGTGCTTGTTTCGTGTATAGGAACAAGAACTCTACCAGAAGGAAGGCTTAGGTGTTAACGAGGTGCATTATGTGGACAACCAGGACTGCATAGGTGGGTATTCTTTCTGTTACACCATTGTGGAATAACGTTGGGAGGGGCAGTAATGTGCCGTGCGTCGTTGCTCTGTGCCCTGGTTGACGCTGCTAGGAACTGTGAAAACTCTTGTATGTACTTCTTTTCTGCTGCTTCAAAGTTATTTTTTCTGTCAGGGCATGAAATTCAGCTTTGATGAAAATTTTTAAAATTTTTCTTCTGTTTATTATGATGTGTATTTTCCTACTTGGAAGCTAACATAAGAGACAGGTAAGAGGGCCAGTTAGTGGGCAGGCAGCGGTTGGATCCCACCCAGCCTGGCTGCAGGGGCGGCTGCCCAGGGCCTGCAGGTCCCTCTCCTGTGCATGCCTCCTGCGGGGTGCGGCCTGGGGTCCACAGGTCCAGGGGGTGAGATGAAGGCAGCTGGCCGTGCAGCAGCCTCAGCCTTCTCTTGCTCTCCACCACCCCTGAAGTCAGCTGCTGCACGAGCCTCGCGTGAAAGCCCAGGAACCACATGGTCAGGGATAAGGTGCTGCTTGCAGACGCGTTGCCCAGCAGCGCTGCCTCGGCACGGCTGTGCCTGTCCTGCTTGCTGCCAGCACTCCTGCCATGGCCAGAGGTGTGCTCTCTGCGGCCGAGGCAGCGAGGACTGGTTGTCAGTCATGTCAGTCAGTGTAAGCACCATTGTTGGTGTTATTCTAGGCAAACACAGCACTTCTTAACAAAATGAAAGCGATCCTGCAGGCACTGCTGGTCAGTATTTTCTAGGGAAATAGGAGATGTATGGAGGCTGCTTGTTCACCCAGCATCGCTGGTGAGCTCTGTCCTTTCTCACTTGGGTGCCACGTACTCTGGGGTTGCCCTCTGCTCAGAGCTCCTTCCTGTGGGTTTGTCCCCCAGTTACCACACTACCCGCACCTTAGCACACCTCAGCGCAACTCAGCGTACCTCAAGGCAGCTAAGGGCACCTCAGCACAACTCAGAGCACCACAGCACACCTCAGCACACATCAGCGCACCTCAGAGCACCTCTGTCTACCTCAGTGTACCTCAGGGCAGCTAAGGGCACCTCAGTGCAACTCAGAGCACCACAGCACACCTCAGCACACATCAGCACACCTTAGAGCACTTCTGCCCACCTCAGCGTACCTCAGGGCACCTCAGTGCAACTCGGGGAACTCAGCACACCTTACGGTACCTCAGTCCACCTTCCTGTACCTCAGTCCACCTTCCTGTACCTCAGTCCACCTTCCTGCACCTCAGCATACCCACATACCTCAGTGTGCCCTCACCCACTGGAGTGTACCCTCCTGCACCTCATTGCACCCTCCTGCACCTCAACACACCCTCACCCACCTCAGCACACCTTCCCTACCTCAGTGCACCCTCCCCAACCTCAGAGCATCCCCATAAACCTCAGAGAATCCTCCTGCACCTCGGTGCGCCCTCTCCCACCTTAGAGCATTCTCCCCCACCTCGGCATGCCCTTACCTACCTCAGCCCGCCCTCTGCACCTCAGTGCACCCTCACTGCCTCAGCTCACCCTCCCCCATGTTAGCGCCCCCTTCCGTGTATTCTGTCCCTTCCTGCAGCAGTCACTGCCCAGGCAGCAGCCATTTCTAGTCAGTCTCCAGTTAGAACCTGGGTCTTTCTTGCTGGGTCTTGGAGCCCTGCCCCATTCAGCAGTTTTATATGCTGTGTTTAAGAAGTTTTAAAGTTATCTTGTTATGTGGGAAAGTTAAGCAGCACATATCAAAGGAGCGTAACATTTTGCTTTGTGGGGCCATGCTGGCCTCTGCACTGCAGGACTACCTGGGGCCAGGGCCTGAGAACCAACCCAGACAGCAGGAAGACTCTTATCTTAAAAAAAGAAGTGCTCACTTTTTGCTAAAAAGGTGTATATGCAAAAGCTCTCATTGTTTCTTTTTTTCTTCTTCTTCTTTTTTTTTTTTTTACGGAACCAGGGATTGAACTCAGGCCCTTGCGCTTGCTATGGCAGTGCTTATTCCACTGAGCCATCTCCCCAGCAGCCGTTATTTCATTTCATTTTGCAGATAGATGCCATCTATAAAAGGGGAAATTTTAGATTCCTTAGCCTTTCAAAGTTTACAAATGGAATTCCTGTATTAGTTGCTTTATCCATGAAGTTGTTTTTCTGAACACAACACTAAAACTGTGATGTTATCTTTAAACGAGTGGCCAGGTCTCAAATAAAAATCCTCTGTTCACCACAGCCATTGGTAAAATATTTTCAGAATTGTTGACTACATGATTTCTAAGCAATCCTTAAAATGTGGCATCAATAAGCTGTTCACCATATCTTTAAAATGTTTTTACCCCATCGAAGTTCATTTTTATTTTTTAAAATAGATTTAATTGAAGCAAAATTGGTGGGAGTACTAGACATTTTGGATGAAGAAAATCGCCTTCCCCAGCCAAGTGACCAGCACTTCACTGCCGCGGTTCACCAGAAGCACAAGGACCACTTCCGACTCACTGTGAGCTCGTCCTTGTGGACTCGAGACCCAACGGAGAGGGTGGTCTTGGGAAGGGGCACTGGGTCCTGGCTGTTGTTGGCAGTTGCATTTCGTGGGGGCTAGGGCCGGCGCCTTCTCAGGGGGGCACTGAACTTCACACGCCATGTGTTTGGCGGTAGTGTTTTATGTCACCAAGAGTGTTTCTTTCTGTGAAAAGTAGTCTTACCTGAGACGGGCAGTGACCTCTGCCTGCTGCCTTCGTGTTCTGCCTTCCGAGCTAAGTGGCATAAATTGCCTTTTCCTACCATGTGACCCTGATCGTGGTCCAGGGTTGCGGCTCGAGTCATAAGCTGCCATCCACACATCTGTTAGTTCTCAGGGAAGGCAGTGGTGTGCAGCCCTGAGTGGCGGCAACAACCCACCTCAGACAGCAGTAGCCCATGCATTTGGTCTCCTTCTAGGGAGCTTTGAGTGGAAAACCCACTCGGGCAAGGGAAGCTGAAAGAGTAGAGGGCCAGGTGGCACAAGGGAAAGGCAGCTGCGGAGACAGTAGAAATGAATGAGCAGGCACTGCTAAAAATGCGCTTCTGAGAAGGCAGGGCTCCCACACTGCTGCTGGGCAGAGAGCTGTGCTTGACTGAACCTTTGTGGGAGTGAGAAGAGAACCTTTCTCCCGGAGGCTGGGTTGTGCAGCTGGAGTGCTTCCTGCATTTGCCTGATTCTGTGTCTGAGGCAGCACAAGATCTACGGCTGTCCATTGCACGCCACTTAGTCTTGTGGATAGCCACCGCAGTTGGGCCTGGGCGTGCTGCTTAGGGCCACGTGGTGGTGTTGGGCTGCTGGCTGGTGGTTCTGGCCTTGAGCTGGCAGTCAGTGCAGGAGCGTCTTTTTTGTTTTGGTTCAGCATTGACAGAACTGCAATGTACGCATGCATTGCCTGTCATCTGGTCCTTCTTAGTACATTAAAAAAGGAAAGAAAATCTAAAAACAACTTTAAGAAGATCATTTAAAACTTCAGTGGTATATAGGTTAAATGGATTTACATGAAAAATGAATGTAATCATGTTGATCTTTAGGGTCTGGAATCCCAGACCTGCCTGCTCCATTGACTTGGAATTTTGTGTGCTAAATATGTGTAATTTGCAGCCTGTGTCTAATACTGGCGTAGAGGTGTTAGAAGCAAACAAAACAGTGTATACCCTCAAGAAAACGTGTGCAGAGGTTGAGGCTTATGTGCTGCCCACTTACTCTCCGCTCTGGGCTCTGCAGCTCCGAGCACGTGGTGCATGGCCGCCTTTGTCAGGATCTGGGTACTCTTCACCAGCATTGTGATATGAGTCCCAGAGCACGTAGGCTAGAGGACGGCACCGAGCAGTGCCAGGGTGGATTTGTTGAGGAGCACACGAGGCAGAGACTGGTAACTAATACTACAGGTTGTTGCCTTTGCAAATGTAGGCACTTGGCCCATCTCTGGGGCACGTGGCAGTGCCAGGCGCTGTCACAGGCTTACACAGTCCCGCTCAGGTTCTAGTGTGAGCGAGCCGTGGGTGTGGCTTGTGTGGCAGAGGAGTCCACATGCAGACAGAGGAGCCCGCACGTCGGGTGCTCAGGGCTCCCCGGTGCCTGCAGAGGCCACGCGGTCCTGTGAAAGCAGCTTGGAAGCTTGAGTGATGTAAGTGTGAGAGGTGGTGCGGACACAGTGCACAGCTCAGTGCGTAGTTGTTCCGAGGTAGACTTGGGCTTGTTGTGTGACCCAGGAGGGCATGGTTTGAATCTCGGGGTGTCCCAGTGCTGGCTTCAGCTGTGTCCGTGGCAGGCAGCATGTGAGTCCTGCAGTGGGTGCTGGGCGTGGAGGCATGGGAGTCTCCCACTGCCTGAGATAGTGCTCAGCCCCGCGAGTTGCCCGCTCTGCGTCATGCTTGCTCCTGAATGGCAGACTTTTGTCTGCTCGCTTTGGTCTTGCAGTCTTTCTTTAGGAGAGTGTGACCAAATATGTGCCGGACGCCACTGGTGTCTTAGGCTGTACTCAACGTTGGAAAAGCAGGATAAGTGTGAAAATTACCTTCATAATTTTCAGTATTTCATACCTCAAGTGTTGTCTGAAGGAACATTATGCAGTCTGTTTTTGAAAATTTAATAATGCATGGATGTATTATCTTTCAGATTCCCAGGAAATCCAAGCTGGCGGTTCATAGGAATCTCAGAGATGACGAAGGCTTTATCATCAGGCACTTTGCAGGGGCTGTGTGCTATGAAACAGTGAGTGTGACGCTTTTAAGTTTGACAATGAGCGTAGCGCGGCGTGGTGCTGCCGCCTCCCGCCGGCCTGGAGTGGCACCGCTGCCGCCTTCAGGTGCTGCAGGTGCTCGCGGTGGCCGAGGAGCTGGCAGGCGGTGCGGAGAGCAAGACTACTGCTGCCTGCTGCCCAGGGTGACCACTGGGCTGGGTGCGCGGGGATGCATGTCACCAGGCGAGCTGAAGCATTCTGTGTGGTTTGTTTTCCAGACCCAGTTTGTGGAGAAAAACAATGATGCTTTACATATGTCTCTTGAATCCTTAATATGTGAGTCCAGAGATAAGTTCATACGGGAGTTATTCGAATCGTCCACAAATAACAACAAAGACACTAAACAAAAAGCAGGAAAACTTAGTTTCATCAGTGTGGGAAACAAGTTTAAGGTATTTATTTTGAAAACGTTTTGACTGTATTTAAAATAAAATAATTCTGTGATACTCCAAAGTGGATAATGTAGATCACTCACTGTCACGAGTGAGCTGCCAGAGAAGACCCGTGGTGTTGGCTCTTGTCTGTAAAATACCGTGGCCCAGCCCTGGTCGCTGCCTGTGCAGAAGCGACTGTGGCTCCTGGTGCACAACGTATCTGGCTGCCTCTCCTGATGCTCCTGCTCCGCGACTGCCTGTCGACCTGTGCGCCTTCTCTGTCCCACGTGTCTTCTGCTTCCTTCCTACTCAGCAGCTTTCTTTTAGCTGGAGTAGGCCAGCTCCAGACGGCTAGACAGGATAGTAGAGAGGAAGAGCAGGCACAGCAAGCCTTCAGGTAAATGTCGCCTCGTGGACTCCTCTTGCACAGTGGCTACACGTCACAGAGAGCCTGTCTTGAGTCCGTAATTTCATTTGCACTTTGTTTTCAATGCATGTTTCTCTCCCAGGGCATCACTGGCATGCATATGACACTAAACCTTAAATGGAGTGTTTGGTAGTTTCTAAAAAGATGAGGGTTCACGCATAGCACACTCTTCAACTTGTTAGGGAACATTCACGTATCAACTTAGGATCAGGAATTTATCCTTTGGAGCCTGATAAGGAATTGTTACAAAGTATTTCTTAGAACGTGAGGGCCATGGCGGCTGAAGATAGAGCCTAGTGTGAAGCCCCTGGGTTAAATCCCCAGTGCCACACACAGAAAAGAAGGGAAAATAAAAAGAGCACTACAAGTTGGTTATATATATGTTTTTTAATGTATGTAGTACAGGGTCTCACTACACAGCTTGGCTTCGTAGTGATGCTCTTGTTTTCAGCCTCCCTAGTGCTGGGATTACTGGCATGTGCCACCGCGCCCAGACTCTGGGGCTGGCTCAGCCCGCCCTGGGGGTGGGGCTGGTGCAGCATGTGGTGCTGGGGATTGACCTGCAGTCCTTGCGCTTGCCTGAACAGGTGCTTTGTCCACTAAGTGAGCTTTCTCACTGGCCCTTGGTTATAATTTTGAATATAGAAAAACAATTATGTTACAAGTTTAATAAACAGAGAAGCATAACACTGTACATAGAACAAAAAATAGAGTCAACTTCTTTTACTCATTCGCACAGTTACTTACAATTAAACTCTGTTTGCCTTTTGAAGTATAGACTGTATGAACAGTGATATAATTGCAAACAGTGTTTATCAAAATAATATAATAGCAGCTGCAGTAAGACCTTCAGATTCCTTTCTGCTTGAATTGGGCCCTAAATAATTTACTGTGATGAAATCAGAGTCCTTTGCGATTGAATTGGGCCCTAAATAATTTACCGTGATGAAATCATGCTTCCCGGGCTGAGAATGTTTACCCAGCATATGTGAGGGGTGAGCCCTAGTAGTACCCGCCTAAAAAATTTTATTTCCAAAAGCTAGATTATTTTAAAAATGGGAATATTAGGTAGCTGAATTAAAAATTTTAAATTTTAAGTCACATTCATTAATTATAAGTTCCTAATTTGCTTAACATGCAATATTTTTAATTTATTCTTCCATTCCTGATTAGGCACTTAATAGATGATTTCAAACATAGTACATTATTGGTATGTTTCTATAGTGCCAGCTATAGGCAGGAGGCTGAGGCGGGAGGAGTGCTTGAACCAAGAAATGTGTTTTCACCCTGTACAACAGAGTGAGACCTAGTCTCAAGAAAACAACAAAAAAGTACATTCATTTATAGGAAACAAATATTCATCAAGTACTGTCCTACTGTAATATTAAAGTAGCACCATTGGTAAGGATATACCTGTAATTTTAGACAATATAAATAAAACTCCTCTGGTTTAGAAAATCTTGGGTTAAGCCTTTATAAGTTGTTTATGTATAGTTAAATATAGGTACAATATTTCATTATGAAAGCTATAGCTGGTTTTAAAAATACCAGTTTGGAGTAAAAATCTTAATAGGGATTCTTGGTTTCAAATATAGTTGACTAGCTCAACAGATTAAAACTGAAGTATGTAAGGTAATAAGCACAAACCAGGTGATGAGCAGTAGTAATGTCTCAGGCGTCCGGCACGATGGAGGCCAGGTTTTCCTTGGAACAATGACCAGCTCCTGTTTCTTTATTAGGCTTTTGCTCATGCTGGAAACCACGCTCACAACTCACGCTTGCCAGGCGGGCGCAGTGCCGCTGACGCGAGGCCCTTGCCTTGCTGCTTGTGAGGGCTGCATTTTGATAAGTGACCTTCTTTTCTCTTTTTTCACTGTTAGTGTATTTTTACTGCTTCCACTGTTGTCACTGAATCTCCATTTGGAGAAATCTTGTGGACTACAGAGCACAGATTTTGTGACAGTTGTTTTCTTCCAGAATTAGTGGCTCTCAGACTTGCTCGAGTCATGTGGGAGCGTAGCTTGGTAGGTTGTCAGAAGTCTCGCCAGCTAAGCCAGGATATGACTGTGTCTCTTGGACCTAGCGGCATTCATTTCAGGCTCATAGCTGAAGCCTGTGGTGCCTGAAGTGTGTGTAGAGTCAGAGAGTGAACTGGCGTCAGGCCCGATTTGGGATTGTGCCTTGGCCGTTAGCTCGGGCAAGTCATTTATTTTCGTGGACCTCTTCTGCCTATGAGGGGAGGCTGGCTATGCACCCGCGTTGGGGGTGGTGTGTGACCCTTGGTTGGGCTGAGCTGGTCAGTGCCCATGTAAAGCTTTGAGCAGCGCTGTACTCCGGGGCGAACGGCCTGGTGGCTTCAGTTGTGGTTACGGCCAACAAAATACTAATGTAAGAATAGCGTTTTAATTTCCCTCTAAGTAGTATAATAAGGATTTTAGTATAAAATCCACACACTGGAATTTTCATAATTAATTTACTTTGTAGAATAATAAAGCAGATAAATGAGTTTAGTGTACTGAACCAGAGTAAATTATAATCAATATTTTAAAAGCAAGAAAGCATAGTGTCTTGTCTTATAATATCCATTTTCCATTTTTTAAAGAAAACTGTTGCATTTCTTAAAATAATTGATGTGTGAAAGGTTTTAAGAAATAGACCATATGTAGCTAGGTAGGGCAGTTTTGTTCATGTTCACATTTGGTAGAATAATCCGGGTAGACATCAGCAGTGCCTATTTCAAGCATGCCCTCACTCTTAGTGGCTTGTGGCACAGTGTTCCCGGTGTGGCACGGCCTGAAGTCCTGTAGCTCTGTTCTCACGCTGACTGCACCTGCTTTCTCCTTTCCTCCCCTGTTGCCGTATACGCCTTCCTCGCTCACCCCACCTGCACAGCTGTGTAGGGCGTTTTCGTATGACTGGCTTTCGGTCTTTCATGATACGAGTTCTGTGGAGTTGCAGCCCTTGACATTTTCTGGGCCATTGTGCATGAAGCGCTGAGAGTCTGCGCATGAGACACTGCGCTCCGACTCTGGTGTGTGTGCACGTTACTGCGTGCTGTTTACTCGTGGGGAATTAGTGTTGACTCCTGTTGTGGTGCACTTGAACTTCTTGAAATAAACTCATTCTTTTCCTTCACAGACACAGTTAAATTTGCTTTTGGATAAACTTCGAAGTACTGTGAGTACACTTGAAAATAGAATACATATTTCAAACAGTCCTCTAACACTGTTATTAATGTTTACCCAAATAAACACAGTAACTCTAGAATAGTTAGAAATATATTTAATTCCCTTCATTAAAATACGTTGTTGTGGGGCCGGGGAGATGGCTCAGTGGAGTAAGTGCTTCCCTGGCAAGCGCAAGGGCCTGAGTTCAATCCCTGGTGCTGAAAAAAAAAAAAAAAAAAAAAGTTGTTGAAATGGTTATTTTTTGTTAGATGTGTTCTGAAGAAAGGCCAAATATGTATGTAAAGTCAAACTTGTACAAAATACGGAGCTCTTTGAGTGCTATTGAGATTGGCGGAGAGCTTCACAAAGGTGGAAATAATTAGTAAGCATGGAGGAGAATATGGCTTTTTAGGATTAAAGATAAAGTCTGTAACTTAATTTCATTTTATTACTCTTGTACCATTCTTCGGACATGCCTCTGTTGGTATGGAAAAATGGACATAGATTTTGTTCCTTTACAAAGGCAAAATCTGTGGGAACCTGTGTTTTTTTTGACTGTGTGTCTTAGTGACTCACTCTGTATTATTAAATAAAAAACAAAAACTGCCATAGAAAGAAGTTCTGAAAAAAAAAATCTTCTTTTGAATATTTTCATTGGCTGCTGACACTTATCACCCAAGATTAAGCTGCCGAGAAAGGCATTTTACTTGTATTTCTGCTGTAAGTGCTACTCTCAAAGCAATGGGAGAACTTGTTAGATTTATAGAAGTATGTTCCAGAAGTGTTTGCAGTGAACATCTTGTTGAACAACTGTTCAGTTTCTCAAGGTTCCTACTTTGCAGAGAAAGTTATTTGGAAGTCTAGTATATTAGCTTCAGTACAAGACAATTTCATTGCTTACACAGTCCGCTTTTTCCTCATTTAGGATAACCTGATAGCCACAGGAATGCCTTTTGGCTTTAATAAATTTTGTTTAACAGATTAAAGTTTCCAGCTGGGCTTGGAAGTGCACACTTGAAGTCCAAGCACTGGGGGAGGCTGAGGGAGGAGGATTAGAAGTTTGAACCGGGGCAAGCCTGGGCAACTTAGGTCTAGTCTCAAGATAAAAACATTATAGAAGGGGTGGGTGTGCAGTTCAGTGTGCAGCCCTGAGTTCAGTTCCCAGTTCTGCAGCAGCAGCAGCAGCAGCAGCACAAACCAAAAACAAGACAACCCCAGCATTTTTGAGGTAGAATGAAAAGCTTGCTGGATTTTGTATACGTGTGCATTTGCAAACATTTTGTCATTACAAGGGCATACTTTTTATTTAATCTCTTTTCATAGAATAATATCCTTACAGAAATGTGGGTCAGTAGCTTGAGACTTGCGAAGGACGTTCTCGGCGTCCTCTCAGCACTGCCTTGTCGTCCTAGGGCGCAAGCTTCATTCGCTGCATCAAACCTAACTTGAAGATGACAAGCCACCACTTCGAAGGGGCTCAAATCCTGTCCCAGCTCCAGTGCTCAGGTACTCTCGTGCTCTCTCCTGTGTGTCGCGGTGTGTCAGGCAGTCTCACAGGCCCTGTGTTTCCAAGTGATTCACTGTAAGCGTGATCGTTTCTGAATACACTAAGATTTCTACCTTACTTCCTTCCAGACTTGCATGGGTGTTGGCTCTGTTCAGGTTGTGGCCCTTGGCCTTTCAGGCCCATGCTGCCAGGTTCCCTGGTCAGCCTTGGCTTCTCCCAGAGACTGTCCTGGGCCTCCAGATCTCTGAGCTCGGCCAGCGGCCGGCTCCCTCTCTGTGGAAGGCTTGGAGTCGCCACGCACCTCTGCCTTCTTGCACTCACTGCCTTCTTGACCAGAAGGGACTCCCTCCCTACTTGAGGCTTACATCCTTGAAGTCCATCCCTTCCTACCCTTCTTGTGCATCTTCAGATCTGATGATGCATGTTCTGCCCTTCCTGTTCCACTTAAGCACATCAGAATCTCATCTCAGACCACATTCCCTTGCAGCTCAGTAGTCGATTTGGATTTCTCAGTCCTCTGCCTTCTACTCACCTTTGACCCCAAGAGAATTGAACTTGCTTCCTGACAAGGTCACCGGTAATTGCCTGGTCTAAAATCTGAATCGGTTTTGCAGACCTAAATGAGACCCTCTTAGCGGACTTCACAAGCAGTTGGCTGCGTTAAGAGCGCAGCCTTCTTGGCCTGTGAAATGAAGTGTGCCTATGTTGGGTTTGTCGACTCAGTTTTGTTTCCTGGGTATTACCTGTTTCAGGGTCTAAACTAGGCCAGTTTTCCTGTTCACTGTTTGCCAGCTCTCTCCAGCAGCTCTGTGTGATGCTGGGATTCCTCTCTGTCAGAGCGTCTCTGTTGGATGCCCATCGGATGCTTTACAGGCCGAATCTTAGGTAGTTTTCACATCTAAGCTGTCACGCAGGTCTGGTGGCGGCTGTGTTGGATCGCATAGGCCCCCATCCTCCGGGTTTCTTGGACTCCCGTTGGTGTCACTGCCTCACTAGTGCGTGATGCTCCACCCCAGTGCGGGCCGTGCCCTCTCTGCCGGCTTCTTGCTGGACTTCCTTCTCTTTACACCGGTTAGCACACGAGGCCACGTGTCCTCGCCTGCGTGTCCCTAATTCACTGATCCTGTACTCTGTGCTGCAGCGCACCGGCTTCCCTTCCTGTTAGCTCTGTAAGAGCTGTGCTGCCGCAGGCCTGTGCTGCTCCTTGTTTGGGACGTGTTCAGCACTTTTCCTTTGTCTTTTCCATCTCAGCTGGATTGTTACTTCCCATTAAAGCCTTTCCTGATGTTCCTATTGTAGAAGCAGGCCTTAGTTCACTGTGCTGAGTTCCTGTTCTTTTATCTCATGGTCCTAGTTAAAATTTCAGCTGTATCTTGCATGATTATTTAAATTTTCCCTTCTCCATTCACAAGTCCCATGAGAGCAAGGAATGTATCTTGTTTTGACTTACGCAAAAATCTCACTTCCCTGGCATTTACTAAACTTAGTAAATATTGGTTGAATAAAACATATGATCTAGCAAATATAAAAATTTATGACTAATTCTGACAAGTACTGCACAATCAATTCAAATTACTCAATTTTTAGATGTAGAGAGATATATTTTGTGTATTTAGGATGTTAGAGCTTAGAGTTTAATTTTTTTCCATTTGAATTCTTTTTTAGGTTTTGTTTAGCATAATGCAATTAATTTATTTCCTAAGTTGGTATCTATTGTCCTAGCAAGTAATGCATGTTTAAATTTAGCTGTTTGTACTATTAGATTAGCAGAGTGTGGGCTTGCTGGTACATTATCTAGGCTCAGTCTTCCAGGCAGTGGTGCATTTCAGCATGTTAAGATATGTTGGCAGCCTAAAAGGTAGCACCAGTTTATAAACACTTGATTTATTTTGAAGTCTATTGATAGCATAATGATACAAAATTGATTCTAGTCATGTAGCTAGGTAATGAGAGAAGCAAAAAATAACAATAAGAGATGGAAATAAAAGTACTTATGGAGTGTCCCAAGATAAAGATATTTAAGATTTATATTGTTTTACCTTTCAATTTTCTTTCTTTCTTTTTTCCATTTAGAAGACAATTAGGTACCAGCAAGTTAGCTTAGTGGACTAAGTGCCTGCTTAGGCAAGAGCAGGGACAAAGGTTTGATCCCCTGCTCCACATGCTGTGCCACGTGCTGCCACCCTGCTCTGTCCCCCCCCCCCAGCAATGAGCCAGCCACTGAAGCCAGGCGTGGTGGTGCATGCCTGTGACCCCAGCGCTGGGGAGGCTGAAAACAGGAGGATCACTAGCAGTCCGAGCTGCATAGTGAGACCCTGCGCAAAGAAGATAACTAATTTAAGAAACTTTCTACTAACAGTACTCTCTTCTTATCAGCCACACCAGTGCAAAGAAGGGGAGGGAGAGAGAAGCTAGGTTTTCTTCCATGCAGCCTCAGGGTGGTGCTGCCTGTGGTAGCAAAGGGGGCTTCTGAGTGCAGGCAGCATCGTACCAAGCAGGTCAGGGGGATTTCTACAAGGAGTAGTTGAGTTTTAGAATTCTTTGTGCTGCCTAAGATCCTAAGAGTGCGTTAGCTTCAGGTGCTGAGAAATCAGTTGTAGGTAGCTAATGTGGGAAGCTTCGTGAAGTTCTTTTTTTTAGGTTTGTGTGTGTGTGTGTGTGTGTGTGTGTGTGTGTGCAGGGTCTCAATATGATGTTCTTTTTTTTTTTTTTTTTTGCAGAACTAGGAATTGAACTCAGGCCCTTGTGCTTGCCAGGGAAGCGCTTATTCCACTGAGCCATCTGCCCAGCCCCACTATGACATTCTTAATGTTCATGTTTTGCACTGGTAGGGAAGGCCTAGACTCTGAGTGGTGGTGTATACATTTTTAAAGGATACTTGATGGAAATGGACAAAAACTGACAATATCAGCAAAACTTTATGTTTTTCTCCAAGGCAGGGCCTAGAGCTAGAACTACTTCCAAGATTTTTTTTTCTTATTAAGAGAGATGTTCTTTGTGTGTTTCATTAATTTGTCTATAATTTTTATATATATTGGCTCTATTAAGACTAGTTAGGTGCTCTGTTCTATTTTTAATGTGGCATATTCTATTATGTATTTGTAACATAATTAATACATAATGAAGTTATTTCTGATGTTTTTCTATTACAAACAGAGACCCATTGACATTGGACATTGTCCACAGCTTACCTTTGTCCAAATGTGAGAAGTTGTAGGATAGATTCGTAGAAGTCCAGCATTTCTGGACCATAAGTACAGATACTGTATCCAAATGGCCATGCCAAATAGTTGCACCGGTTAACACTCTCACTTAGAATGTACGTGTGTTTTCCTCCACTGTCATAATCTCTTAATACTACACTGGAACCTTGTTCCTGACTTAATTTGTTCTGCAGTTTTGGAAAAGATGGCCACGTGTGGGAAAGATGGCAGTGGTCGTGTTTGTCATGCAATACAGAATTTGCAAACAAAAACACAATTTTGCCAGACACTTGTTTGCAAACCAGATTAAGTTGTTTGCAAACACAAGCATTCATGAACTGAGGTACCACTAAAATAATATTTCACATCTTTGACAATTAGGTTAAAATTCAGTCTACCTAAAAAGGCCAACTTCTCATAAGATTATTTTAAGATAAGAATGTACTTATAGACTTCTACAGTTTTAATTTAAAATTTTTGACTAGCAGGAATTTAGTGTAACAAAAGAGGTAAGAGTCTGATGTTATTTTTGTTTCCCAAAACGCCATCCATCTGTTATAACAATTTTTATTGAAAATCTTATTTCCTCATTGATTTGAGTAGTCCCAGATACTGAAATTCAGGGTTTGTTGTAAATAAGACCTTGTCATTATATTTAGCAGTTGAATCTGTCTCAACCTATTTTACACTTTCCCTGACCTGAAAAGCTCACATTGATTTAGGCCTTGGATTTAAAATTTATTAAAGTTATACTGATAACAGATATTTATTCAGTGGACACATCATTCTAGTAGATTAGTTCCTCTGGGAAAGGTCTTTTTACTGACCCCCCCCCCGCCCCCCCCCGCTTTTGCTTAAGAACTGAGAAATGTATTTAACTACTTTGCTTAAGAACTGGAAATATATTTAACTACTTTTGGAGGACTCTTGTCAGGAATCTTGTTCTGAAATGACTTAGAAGGTGACCAGGCTTGCTGGGCATGGTGGCGCATGCCTGTAATCCCAATGCTTGGGAGGTTGAGCCAGGAAGATCATCGCAAGTTTCACATAAGACTGTGCTACAAAGTGAGTTCAAGGCTAGCCTGAGCTACATAGTGAGAACCTGTCTCAAAAAGACCAAAAAAAAAAGAGAGAGAGAAAGAAAGAAAGAGGCCAGGCATATGCTGTATTAGTCAGCATTCCTGTTGCTGGCCACAGACCTGTCACATGCAATCTAGAGGAGCAGAGGCTTAGTTTGGCTTATGTTTAAAGAGGATTCAGTCCGTGGTCAGCTGGCAGAAGGGCATGGTGAAGCAACATGGCTTAGTTTGTGCCAGCTGGAAAACAGAGCAGGAAGTAAGGCTAGAGAGGAAGGATCAGGGGAGCAGGTGCAGCCCTCAGGGCCACGTCTCCATGATCCGCTGTGGCACCCAGAAGTGTGCTGTCTGCTCCTGGGGAGAACCTCCTCCAGTCAGGTTGACTTCCACCTTAATTGCCACATCCCAACCCCTGTCAACTTGTAATCGAACATATCTCTTGCAGCTATACTTAAAACCTCCAAATAAAGGCAGTAGCAGGATCCTAATTCCATCTGGCGTCATGCATCTGTTGTACAACTGGTAGTGCAACAGTCTGTTCCCCAGAGGCTTACCAGGTGATGAAGGGTGCAGGTCAAAGTGTCTTCTGAGACTCAAGGCAAACCCTTAACCTGTGAAGCTCTATAAAAGTGAAAGAACAAGTTATATAATCCCAAGATACGGTGGCTCTCCCAATTACAAACGGGAGGGATAGAACTATAGAAAAAAGGAATAGGTCCAAAACAAGCCTGAAACCCAGAGGAAAACACTAAATCCTGTAGCTCTGCCTGGCATCCAGGACACATGGCAGCAATGTGAGTTTCAGAAGGCTTGGGTGGCCACCCTCCATGATCTTGTTTGTAGTAACAGTGACCTCTTTCTCTTGGGCAGGTTGCACACAAAGCCTGCAGTTTTCTTTGGAAGACGTTCCAAGCTCTTGACATGGCCAGCTTCCTGTTGTGCCCACTGCCTTCTTGGCCGTATTGCTGTTGCTGCGTTTTTAGGCAGTAGCCTCTTTGAGCAGTAGGTCCTTGCCTGGCCTTCCCGGCTTTCCTTTGAAATCTGAGCAGACTCCTCCCTGAGCCTCGCTGCTTTCTGCATGCTGGTAAAGCTTGTATCGTGTGGGTAATGCCTTATGCCATCGCCAGTGCTGGCAGTATCTGACACACTTGTACTTGGATGCCAAGCGTCTGAATGCCTGAGCAGGGGGACCCGAATCTAGGAGAACGAATTCCTTAGGAAGCTTTTCCTTAAATGAAACGTTTACGCTTTTACACCATTGGGTCTGCCGAGGGTGGCGTCATGCTGACTACTGAAATGCCTTCAACGCATCTTGCTTCTTATCTATATAAAAAGCGCGAAGTCCCCAGTTTACGAACATTGCAAACTTGTGCACATAGAATGGGTTTTAGGACTTGCTATTTTTATGCTTTACATTGTATATTTGTGTCAAAGGTGTGTAAGACTCACTTTGTTGGATTTACAAATGAATCTGACTTAAAGTTCTTTTGGAGTAGAACTTGCTCAAAAATGTGGAACTGGCTGGGGAGATCGCGCGGTGGCATAAGTACCTGCCTGGCAAGCACAAGGTCCCAACTTTGATCCCAAGTACCGTGAGCTGTGCTGGCCCAGGAACTGGGCATGGTGGCTCATGCCTGTAATCCCAGCACTGGAGAGGCTGAGACGGGAGGATCACGAGTCTAAACTGTGCATTGGGGCTGGGGAGATAGCTCAGTAGACTATGCACTTGCCTGGCAAGCATAAGGGCCTGAGTTCAATCCCTGGTTCCGCAAAAAAAAACACCCAAAACAAAACAAAACCAAAAAACTGTGTGTTAAGATCCTGTATTAAAAAAAAAAAAAAAAGGTCTGGGACTTATTCTATAGTAATACCTTGGCTTATGAGAATAATTTGCTCCTCTCATAATCTAAAGCACTTGCATATCAAAGCAGCAAGAGAACAAGAACCAATTGTGAGCTTGTAACATTCAGTGTGATGTACTACGTATATTGCAAGACACCGCTTGCTTATCAAGTAAAGATTTCTTAGAAATGGGGAATCTTCTCAGATCAAGTCACTCGCAATCCAGGGTTTGTCTGTATTTGCTTTATTCTTAATAGTGCTAATCTCTTCAGTAACCACACCTTCTTTGGACTGAGCTTACTCATAGTTCTTTCTGGACCAAAATTTTAAGTTCTCAATTTTTTCTGCTCTACCTTTCTTCCCTGATTCTCTGGCCCAAAACTAACACAAGCCATAGCCCAAATTTTGGGCTGTATTGAAATTTCTTTCACCAGATTAGTTAATTTACTGGCTTTCATCTCAGTATTCTGCCAAGTCTCATGACATGGGCAAGATGTAGACAAATTTTTTGCCACAGTGTAACACACAGGGCCTTTAATCCAGTTGCCAATAGAGACCTAGTTCCCAGCTGAAGTCTCCTGAGCCTGGCCTTTACTTCCCCATTCTTGTCGGCAGTCTGGGCTCTTGTGTTTCCACCTGAATCACCCCTCAAGCTGCTTACAGTGTGGCAGGGGTTCTCTAGCTGTTATCTCTGCACTTACCCACAAGGCATTGTGGGAGCTTTTAAACCCCGGGGTCAGGTACAGTCTCAGCAGTGGCTCCCATTTCTCCAGCACTGACCTTCTGTACGAGCTTTCCTGCTGCCGGATCTGCTGTGTGACACTCAGAGCTTACAGAGAGGCTTAATTTGGTTCTGTTTTGAGAGAATTTAGGCCATGGTCATCAGGCTCTGGAACATCGTGGCGAGAAGGCTGGAACATCGTGGCGAGAAGTCCTATGGGCAGAGCTGCTTAGTTCATGGTGGCTGGGAAGTAGAGGGGAAGCAGTGCCACAGAAGAAGGGGTGACGGACCAGACAGGGCCACCAGGGCCACAGTTTCGTGACCCCCCGGCATATCCGGAAGTGTGGCCACTGGCCCTCCAGGTGCACCCAGCACCCGTGGAGAGAGCACGGTGCCCTCACGGGGCTTACGTGTGTACCCAGCATAAGAACAGATGCCTCTGAGGATGGTTAGTCTGGCTTTAGCTAGAACTTGACTGGAGTAGCTGCAGGGAGATAAGTTGGAGCACAGTGGCTAGAAGTACGTTTCCTGTGGATTTTTCGTTGTTGACAATTCCTGCTTGTTTTCCCTCCCAAACATTGATGTGTGAAATTGTTTTATCATTCACAAGTTAATTTGGACTTCTGTGCAGTGATTGTGTTTTTATGGATCCAGGCATGGTGTCTGTTTTGGACCTGATGCAGGGTGGCTTCCCTTCACGGGCTTCATTTCATGAGCTCTACAACATGTACAAAAAGTACATGCCGGATAAACTCGCTCGGCTGGACCCCAGGCTGTTCTGTAAGGTACAGATGCTGCTGAAATGGAATTTTCACCCATTAGATCTTTCCTATTAATTCCTAATTGGAATTTAATCTGTAAACTTTTATTTTTCAGGCTCTTTTTAAGGCTTTGGGCTTAAATGAAGTTGACTACAAGTTTGGGTTAACGAAAGTATTTTTTAGACCTGGCAAGGTAAATATATTACTGTTTTAAACTTTAACATCATGCCTGTGAGCAGTTAGGGTTAATAAATGTTCTCAATTAATTAGTGATTTGTGTTATTTTTGAATCATACAGTTACTTGAACAACACAATATGTGTGTGTGTGTGTGTGTGTGTGTGTGTATGTGCATACAGAGTTTTCTTATTGGTGAGAAATTTATAATATGTAATTTTCTGCATAAATTTTGCAATTCTTACCAGCATTTGAATTAGAGAATAGTTTAATTGACTTTTTTATTTGCTTAAGTTAGGCAGTTAATCAGAAAAGACTAACATTTTGAGCAAATTGGAAGATTTTCTAGAGCATTAACTCAGCCTCCAATGATTTGAGATTGTATGTGCTGTGGGGCTCATTGCGACAGCATGTTTGCGGGGTAGACAGAGACCAAGCAAGCCAGGAAGCGGGACAGGGGACTGGACTGTGTGCTGGCCTCTGGCCAACCCTGGAAGGAATGAATACATGAATGCTTTGAATGTAAAGGGGTTTTTAGGCTCACACATATTCCTATAGTTTTAACATTCACAGTTTGTATAATGATTTATGACTGGATGTGTTCAGTAAGTGTGGTACTGTTTACAGTCCATCCTACAGAGTAATAATTGCATCCTCATTTTAATCATGACTGTAACTGCTCAATAGCCAATAATTATAATTGGATTAACCAAAATCATTAATAAATATCTTTAGGGGGCCTGGCCTTAGCTCAGTTGTTTAAGTGGCTGCTTCCACAAAGCTGTCAGCCTCAGGTTGCTGTAGTTCGATCCCCACAACACTCCAGCCAGCCAAACATTAGATTTATCTAAAACAGCCAGGGAGATAGCTCAGTAGAATAAGCACCTGCCTGGCAAGTGCAGGGTCCTGAGTTCAATCCCTGATACCACAAAATAAG